TCCCTGTATCCCAGATACCTGTTGTTCCAAGGTTGTGCATACATCATTATTTACCTCTGTCCCACTTAGCCCATGCAAACCTGCCTAACTGTTCTACCATCCTAGGCTGCAATTTTTATGGGAGCAAATCACCAGGTCTTGTCTCCCATGGAGTCAGTGGTGGGTTCAGACTTTCAGTCCTTTCAATTAGCATCCAAATGCTTAATCAGTTTGTCACCAGGGCTCCTGGTATATTACTATAACATCTGACCTTTAATACCGTGTTCCCTTGTGCTGGCTGCATGCTATGTGTGAACTAAAGTAGTAAATAAACAACCCAAGCCTGTAGTCATCCGTTGATTCCAAATCATGACAACTTGATGTATTACAGAGTAGATCTGCTCCATGGTTTTTCTTGGCTGTCCTCTTTATGAAAGCAGATTGCCAGGTCTTTTTTACGTGTCACTGCTGGGTGCGTTTAAATGGTCAGCCTTTAGGATACCAGCTTAATAATGACATTAAGCAAAGCAGCTTTCAAAGAACCAAATAATACTGTGTGAAAGATAAAATAACCAAGGAATGTTAGCATTAGCCCAACAGTGGGTGTTGAAGTGAACTGCATTTCTGTGGATATTATCCAGTGGGTATGCATATTTAATTTTACCTTCACTGACATGGTTGCTGGGAGCAGTTTGAATGATATTTATAACCACACAATGCTCAAGCCAAGGCATTGATCCAAGTGACATGTCCCTTAGCTGAGTCAGCATGCTGCAACTAGATGTTCCCAAATAGCCATTGATTTAATATTCCCTAGATATTAAACACATCCATCTAGATATCTTATTTTTTTTGCAAATGTTTAAGAATCATGTAGATATGGTTACTATGGTGTTACACATAGAAGAAATGTCATACCTAGTTTTATCAGTGGGAAGCACTATACATGAAAGTATGGGTCAACGGTCAACATGTGGCTCATGAACAGTGGTAAAGAAATGGCACGGTATTTTTTCTAATGATTTGCTGCATTGATTTGTTGTTGTTGTTAGTTGCAATCCATGGCGACCTGAGGTAGAACACATGTGAATGTGACTTGGCCGTGCCCCATCTTCAGGATCGTCGGTTATGATTGTGCCCAGCATTGTGCCCACTGTGGTAGTCCATGTCACAGAGAGTTTCTCTCATGCCCACTGGCCCTTTACCAAACATGATGTTCTTTTCTAGCAATTGGTCTTTTCTAACGATATGCCCAAAGTAAGCCAGCCAAAGTCTTGCCACCTTGCTTCTGAGGGACATCCATAGAGCTGCTGTTATGTGTGCTCACACAAACATATCTTAAAGACCTGGGTGTAAAAAAAAAAAAAAAATTGTGATTCTGGGTATTTTATAGATTTCAAATAGATTTAAGACTGTCTTCTCCAGAACTAAGGATCTGAAAAAGCATATAAAGTATGCATTTAGAGTACTCATGCAAGAGCTCGTTATCATATATTATTTCTAGCTCCTTGTGTTGCTTAATTTATCAGCAGCCTGAGTCAGGTACCCAGACCTGCGGGTCAGACACATTGTGTGCAGCATCCTTGGGGTAAAAGTGTCTTGTACAAGGAGCCAAGGGGCGGAGTTAGAGCATGTCTGCCCTGTGTGAAGCCGAAAGGCTAGTTCAGGGAGCCTTAATTGGTTGACTTTCTTTTCAGACATGTGCTGGGATTCTGAAACTACTTGCTTTATTTGTCCAGTAGACATTTACTGCAGTACCTGTCTCTGCCAAGCTTCAGATCAATTCCTCCAACAGCTTCCCCTGTTTCTAAATCCAGACTGCTGGGATCCAATAATATGTAAAGTAGGATTTACCACAGTACCCCCCCCCTCCCCACTGCTGAGCAGCATGACCAGCCCACTGGAACAACTATCCTTACTTCTGATGAGCCATGCTACCTAGTGTCATTTTGTCATCAGTGCTTCTGGGTCCTTTTGGAGTTTCATCTCCTCCTGTCTTTGTTCCTAGAGAATAAAAACTGCCACTGGACTTATAAAAAAGAAAAAGAAAACTGAATCCAAGCAGCCCTGTTGTTCAGTTGAAAGGAGACATGGCTCTCCTCCTCTATAGGAGGTGGTATCTAGGGAAGGGATGCTAGACTTGCCTCTCAGTGACTCTGCATCCTGACTTCTTCAGCCAGGCGCAGGCTCCCTTCCAGACCTCATTACTAGCATTTGGAAGGAGACTGGCTTGAATTAAGACAGGAAATAGCCAGTGACTGCCAGGAGTGCCCAGGACCTGACCTCAGGAACACCACACGCTAACCCACTGATCTCATTGGCTAGTCGCCTTCCTCCTTCTTATTGCCACATGTGCTCATTAGGCTGCTGTGCTCTGTACAAGCATTAGGCTTCCCGTGGGTGCATCTCACCTTGGAAGATGCTCAGGGGAGAAAGAAAAGGAATAAGAGTTTGGCAGTGAAGATACTTTTAAACATCATTTTTAAAGAGGAAATGACAAGATTAATTTCCTTGTGAAGTCTCAGAATGGATGGTCTACTTAACTCCTTCCTTCTGTTGACCCCACTGGTTGGTGAAACAAGTCTCTTGTCAGTAGCCTGAAGTTCCTGTCTGGTGTTTTTGATGCAAATGGGAGCCTTTTAAGATACTTTGTTACCTACTAACGGGCAAATGTGAGAGCACTTTTCTTAAGTGGGAGAGTAAGTGAAGAGTAGTATGTTGGAAGGATTCCCTGGATGATGCAGTTAATATGTTTAACTTTACCCAGCAGTGCGCTAGAAGAAAGACCTGTCAATCTACTTCCAAAGGTTCTAGTCTGACATACATAGGTCACCATAAGTTTTAATTGACTCAACAACAATCGACTCATTATGTTGAAAAGTTTGCCAAACTGACTCTGCAGCAAAATTCAGGTGTCCATGCCTCTGTTTTAGGGGGACAGGAATACAAACAGGAGCTAATTTATACAGTGTTACCAGAAGGTAAAACTGCAAATTAGGATGAAAAGACATCACATTTGAGAGGTCAGTCTCTTTTTCCTGTTATCAATATGGATACGACCAGTTTCACTTCTGTTTCTAATCCTTGATTATGATTTTCATAAAATGCAGCTGTAGGCAGCCACATCTTAATTCTAGCTCTTGAGAAGCTTTTCATTAAACACAAAAGAGCACCACAAAAATGAAATATACTTCTCAGGGCAGTGCAGAGGAAGGGAATCAAGTGCAGTTTCCATTAGGAAACTAACAGCTAACCAGAAGTAGAGGTCATTGTTGTGACCGTCAAAGCCATCCCTAAGACAGAGATTCATGTGCCAGATCCAAGGCTTGGTGACCACTGAATGCAAATGGTGAGAAGAGAAG